TCAAATAAAACACAATCTTCAAAATCTTTAATGATAAATGTTACATACAAAAACTTACGTAATTATTTTGTTTAATCAATGAATTTGATACAAATATAATACTTCAATTAATGCAACGTTTCTTATGAAATTTTATCATAATAATAATAATTTTATTATGATAAAATTTTAAATGTTTTCAATTTTTTGAAATTTTACTAGAAATGTTCTAAGAATTTGCTATAACTTCAACAATGATAATACATATGTTTGAATGGAATATACATTAACTTATTTAAGTTTACAAAAAGTTATGTAATTATTCAGTTTAATTTATGAGAATTGGAGACATCTGTTAAGTCCAAATTAAATCATTATTATTTTATGAACATAAGTTTTTTGTGTCAATTTTTTGTAATTTTTTTTTAATCTTTAATTAAGCTATGATAAAATTACATAAGCTTGAAATGAACACTCATAAATTTATTTAAGTTTCAATAGTTAACATACGTTTTTTTTTGTGCCAAATTTTTGTAAACGTTAACTTTTTTTTAAATCTTTATCTAATCTATGATAAAGTTACATAAGTTTGAAAATAACATAGGGTAAGTTTATAAAAAGTTATGTAATTATTCTGTTTATTTTATGTGTTTTGGAGACATCTGTTAACTCCAAATTAAATCATTATTATTTATGTTTCGTTTATTAACATAAGTTTTTTTTTGTCAAATTTTTGTAAAAATTAACTTTTTTTTAAATCTTCATGTAATCTATGATAAAGTTATATCAGATTTAAAAAAACAACAATAACTTATTTAAGTTTCAGTAGTTAACATACGTTTTTTGTGCCAATTTTTTGTAATACTAAGTTTTTTTTAATCTTTAATTAATAATCTATGATAAAGTTACATAAGTTTGAAAAGAACATGAAGTAAGTTTATAAAAAGTTCTATAATTATTCTTTTTAATTTATATGTTTGGAAGACATCTGTTAGCTCCAAATTAAATCATTATTATTTATGTTTCGAATATTAACATACGTTTTTTGTGCCAAATTTTAGTAAACATTAAGTTTTTTTATGCAAAAAACACTAAAATTATGCATGGAATGGATCATATTTCGTATGAATAATGTATTCATTTGATGGAATTGGTTGTTTTCTCTTAGACCTCGATAAGACATCCGAAATTCGGTGTTCCGCTTTCCTCGACAACGAAAAGAAAGAACTAAATCATTAACAAAAAAGGAACTCATAAATTATAACGACTGCAAGGTTACATGTTATTTTTTTTTGTTTGTTTGTTTGCAAATGCGTCTCTTCTTGTCTGAGGAGGTGGAGGAAGGAGCGTGGATGACCAAAAGTGTGCCAGTTTTCAGTGGTATTGTGACTAGACGCACGATAAACTACTTTCTCCGGCTGCGAAGAAGAGATGATGAGGATGCTGCGAGAAAGAGAGATCTCTTTCGGCGAGAGAGAGTTGTAACCAGTTCGATCTTCGCGAGTTCACATTTATTATTTTTTTATTTATGATTGCTGCCTCTTCCCTGTGTTTAATATTGTAATTATTTTTTGGATGTGGAGTGAAGATGAGATGAAGAATGTCGAATTGGGATCATTCCAAGTCCTTCTCTCTTCATCAACAAAATCTTTTGTAAAAAGCCGAATGATTTATTATTACGAAAATTGATTCAAAAACTTTTTCTTCCAAGTTTGCCCTTTTCAGTGACAGATGTCAAAATAACAGCGCCATCTATTATATATTACACGTCGAAAATTATTCCTTATTACATTAATATTATCATTTAAAAACAATTGCAAGATTTATTGGCTTGACAAAAAAGAATTATTGACAGATGTCAAAAAAAAAGAAACGGCATCAATGATCCATTTTACGTCCTATTTTCTTATAAGAAAAACCACAATATTTATTCATTAAAAAAAATGTGTATTTTCTTTTTCTTATAAGTTTATAGTTTTAAGAGTGACAGACGTCAAATTAACAACGTCATGTTTGTATACATTCAACGTTATGAATTATTGCCAATTTTATTGATTTAAGAAACATTAATTAGTTTGGAAATAATTCTAAATTTGTTTCTTATACATTTACCGTTTTCAGTGACAGATGTCAAAATAACAGCGCCATCTAGTGTACATTTACCGTTGAAAATGATTCCTAAATTATAGTCATTTAAAAACAACTGTAAGATTTATTAGATTAGCAAAAATAAGAATTGTCCCTTCCATGTTTTCTTATATGTTTCAGTGACAGGTGTCAAAATAAGAACGTCATGTTAGTATACATTTAACGTCGTGAATTATTGCCAAATAATATTCATTTAAGAACAACTGAAAGATTAATTTCTTTTGGAAAATACTTTGAAATTTAACGTTTTCACTATTTCTACATTACATTCTTCTTATAGTGACAGGTGTCAAAAAAAACACAACGTCATCTATTATCCGTCATAAATTTGTTTGGAATATATATGCAAGTTTTACTAAATTATTCACTAAATTTTCGTTTTTCTACATTCAATAATTTTAGTGACAGCTGTCAAAAAAAATAACGCCATCTATTAACCATTTGATATACTATATTTATACTACAACTGTTTTTGTTTATAGGTTTAGGTTGTCATGGTTTGACACCTGACATCGGCGGATTGACGCATCTGCATGCGGCCTTAAAGACTGAACTTCAGCGACACGTGGAGGCTTACAAAGGTGCTCTGCATCGTTTGGATGAACTCGGATTCAGCACCGATTCGAAGAAACCCGTAGACGCCAGTCATCAAAGACTTCTCTCCTTGCATCATTCCGACGTCCAACAAAGATTGATAGACAACAAAACGCTTCTGACTCTGTTGGATAAATCAGTTCTTCAGCAGTTGCGACCTCTGATCGACACTTTAGCAACACGAGTACAGAACGACAAAGAAGCTTTGTTTTGCGTTTCACAGCTGAAAAAGTAAGTTATATTTTCAATACTCATACTGAAGTTTGTTTTAAATTTGTTATATAACATTTCTTGAGTTTTTAATTATAAAATTACAGTTTAACTTTTGAGTTTGATCATAGATGGCGCTCGATTACAACCTCTTAAATTCCTTCTTCCTTTTTCTCCACACATTCAGTTAACATCAATGCATAAGAACTTTAACGGAAATAACCAAAATTTCTTTTGTTTGTCCTTCAGGATACAATGCGCGAGCGAAGATGTCCCAGTGGCTTCCTTACTAATGTCATTTTCTCGCGGTTGTGGCGCCCTCTTGGATCTGATGAGGATACCGGAAAGCCCGTGTCACAGCGACGGCTACCATTCGGAACCGGAAGCAGAACCTGACCAAGGGTGAGTATCGATTTTACATCAACTCTGTCCTGTTTTTTTTCTTTTTTTTTTCACCCTTTCTTTTCTTTTGCGTTCGCTGCGGCCGCTTTAATTGCGAAACTTTAAATTGCCCATCAAGCTGATATCAACGAAAGTTTTCCGTTCCAAATAACATCTAGCTGAGATCTCGTCGAGTGAAGTATAGAAGAGAGGAGATGAACCAAACAGGCTTTCGGTCGGCTAATTCGATGAATTAATTTCGATAATCTCGACGCGCCGTCAGATGGCTTTTAACCCTCCCCGCACGTCGGTAATCCCGTTTTACGACCAATTCGGACCTGGCTTCCAATTCTGAAACTAATTGCGTTCGAAAAACCGCGAGTTTAATTAAATAGATTTCAGTTCGTTCGTTTCATAGTTGATTAACTTTTAAAACTTCAATATATGTGCATGCATGTAGTTTGCGAGTTTATTTACACCGTTGGGGAATGTAATACGATTTGCCACAATGTAATAGTTTATATACTGTGATAAAATTTATTACCTCAATGTTGAATGCAAACATTTCCATTGCAAGAACTCGACCGCGAGAATGCAAAAGTTATGTTAGGAATTCATATTTGATTATGTTTTGCAGTTTGCATCGTCCTAAAATAAGTCAACCGTCAAATTGGCACACTTCTTACCAATCTCATAAATTTGTCCGATCTTATAATATATTTATTATATTGATTCTTAAAGTACTACTAAATATTCATCAATTCATTAATAATCATGAAATTTAATTATGCATTGAATTTATACTTTCAATATTACTAAATATAGGTTATTTTTGTATTTCAATTGTTTATAACAGAAGTTTATTGTAATCGGGTGCCCCACGTTTGTCGCCAACTTAAAATGTAAAAAATTGCGTTTGGTACTTAACTATGCATTTACGTTACTAATGGTTACAGATTAAGATACTTATAACTAAATATCTTAACTAACATTCTGATCATTTTAATTATTTAATTACAACATTCATAATTGATCTATTAATTATAATACTTGCTAAAAGGTATGTGGGAACACTATAAATTATGACCATTTTCATGCTAAAAACTGAAAGTAGAAGTAGTATAATGTTAATTTGGTTGCCTATATATGCGACTTAGTATATGGATTTTTGTAAGACCTCGAGTAAGAGAGACAGACGTAAGATTCGAAGTGGGACGGAATGAAAACAACAAGTGTAGGTAATTGCCTCGACGGTATTGAACAATGCGTAACAAGACGCAAAGTGGAGATCGGTGACGCACTTAGTGACCTTTCTTTGGCCACGAAACACGAGTTTACTTAACAAACCTCGCTTCGTCGCATTTCATTTTGTCCACTCTCTCTCTCTCTCTCTCACACACACAACAAACTACATCCAAGTCAGCAAAACAAAAGACAACGAAAACACACGTAGAAAACAAATAGAAGATGACCACGAAAAGACAAACAATTAACGATCGGTCAAAGAAAATTCCACGAATTTTTTGGATTCTCGTTAGTCGTGATTGATCTCTTTTAACTGGAAGTCTTGATATTTGCTTTGTTTTTTTTTTAACATGAGTTTTATTGCAAGACGTAATTTATAGTTTTGGGTGTTTTTCTTTCGGTTTGCCGCTTTTGCATGTTTCCCGTAAAGAGAGGGCGCGTTTCCATTAATCTGTCCGGCAATTTTACGCTCGGATTTACGATTTGCCATGCATATATATATATTTTTTCTTTTTCAAGAAAACCGCTGTAAGGATAACGACTTTTTGCCTCCCCCTGTTTTTTTCCCCTCATAAATACGTTTCGCGGTGACTTCCGAGCGTCCCAGACTCCACCTTATTTGTATTCATTGCTTACAGTTAAATTGCACATTACAAGCAAACTTCCATTTCAGAAGATAACTAAACCAAGGAATAATAATGTCTTTTCCCCCCAAATATATCTAAATTTAAACTACTTTAGTTGTGAACTAAAGAATATATCAGTAGTTGTTGCGTTTATCAAATAAATTGGGTTTAAAATAAGTGCCCCACGTTGGTCGCCAAATTCAAAAACCTTAAAATTAGTCGAATTACTACAATAAAATAAATACAATTAATTATTACATTCGTAAAGTTACTTAAAATGCTCTCAATCAATTACTTTTTATTAATGAAATGTGCCCCACGTTAGTCGCCAAATAAAAAAATCTTTATATTAGTTAAATTACTATAACACGAATACTATTCACAAATCTACTCACCAATATTGCTCTCAATCAACAATAAAAAAGGTTCCCCACGTTAGTCGCCAAATAAAAAATCTTTATATTAGTCAAATTACTATAACATGAATACTATTCACAAATCTACTCACCAATATTTCTCTCAATCAACAATAAAAAAAGATGCCCCACGTTAGTCGCCAAATAAAAAGATCTTAATATTAGTCAAATTACTATAACACGATAAAAAATCTTAATATTAGTCAAATTACTATAACACGAATACTATTCACAAATCTACTCACCAATATTGCTCTCAATCAACAATAAAAAAGGTGCCCCACGTTAGTCGCCAAATAAAAAATCTTAATA